CCACTAATTGGCATCTTCTCCTCACATACTGCTCTGGACTATTACAAATACCTCCTAACACCAACCTACTTCACTACTCTTCCCTTTTCAATCCATCCTCCACACTGCTGCCAAAGTGAAATATTCTCCCCCCCCCTTATTTTTTCCAATTACATGTAAAGATAATATTCAACATTCACTTTTCTAAGATTTTGAGTTCCAAATTTTTTTCTCCCTCCCTCCTTCCCCTCCCCCTTCCCCAAGATGATGTGCAATCTGATATAGGTTATACATGTAAATCATATTAAACATATTTCCAAATTAGTCAAGTTGTAAAAGAAGAATCAGAACAAAAGAGAAAAATCATAAGAAAAAACAAAAACCATACAAACAAAAAAAGAAAACAGTATGCTTCAATCTGCATTCAGACTCCATAGTTCTCTGATTGTGGATAGCATTTTCCATCATGAGTCTTCTGGAATTGTCTTAGATCATTGTATCGCTGAGATGAGATAAATCTATCAAAGTTGATCATCGCACAATATTGCTGTTACTGTATACAACGTTCTCCTGGTTCTACTTCACTCAGCATCAGTTCATGTAAGTCTTTCCAGGTTTTTCTGAAATCTGACTGTTCATCTTATCTTGTAACACAATAGTATTCCATTACATTCATATACCACAACTTGTTCAGCCATTCCCCAATTGATGGCTATCCCCTCAATCTCCAATTCTTTGCCACCAGAAAAAGAGCTGCTATAAATATTTTTGTACATGTAGGTCCTTTCCCCCTTTTTATGATCTCTTTGGAATACAGACCTAGTAGTGGTATTGCTGGATCAAAGGGTAGTATGTACAGTTTTATAGCCCTTTAGGCATAGTCAAAGTGGAATATTTGTAAAGCTCAAGTTTGATCAAATCATTTTCCTGCTTTAAAAAGCTCCTGTAGTTCCCTCTTGTCTCAAGGATAAGTACAAACTCTTCTGGCACTGCAAGCACTTAAAAATTGGTCTTCAGCCTACCGTTCAGTGATTCCCTGTGACATACTTATGTTCCAGTCAAACTGGCTTTCTGGAGGCTCCTGATATATGACATTCCATCTCCAGGCTTTGTACAGGCTATCTCCTAGGCCTGGAATCCATGCCCTCTTCACCTTTGCTTTTTAGAATTACTAGCATTGTTAGAGTAGAGCTCAAGGGCCATCTCCTACACATGGCCTCCCCTAATTCTCCTCATTGTTAGTGTTCTTCCACCATCTGAAAACATCTGTCTAGAATGGGGGAACATAGTAAGCACTTAAGAAATACTGACTGATTGAAGCTACAGAATAAGGGTAGAACAACTCATTAGGACACATTAGATTCTTTTCTGTTTACATATCTACTCTGAACTGTGGCCAAATGTTAATATGTTTAAAAATGAATTATTATCTCTACTCCTAAATTTGCCTCTTCTGATTTCACAGTGTGTGTATGTGTGTGAGAATATCTTCAATGACCTGATTACCTGTGTTTGAAACCTTGCGCTAATGTTGGGCCTTTCCTCGAACTTCATCTTCAGTTTCTAATAAATTAGCAATTCCTTTCAATTTTCTCATAAATTAGCAATTCCCCTTGAAGCTAAGCCTTCTCTGTTCATATCGCTACCACTGTAGTTCAAGTCTTCACTGCTTAAGGTATTATCAGAACTTTCTAAGGAGTTTTCTTACCTTCATTCTTTCTTATTTAATACAATATCCTTCAATTTGCTGCCTTAGTAATTTTATTTCTGCATAAATCTGGTTATGTCACACTTCTGCTAAAAACCTCAAGTGGCTCCCTAGTGCCTCTTAAGTGAGATTCAAACTCTTCAGTGTAATAATAATAAAACTAGATAACTGGCATTTATACTGCACTTTAAGATTTGCAAATGCTTTACCAATTTTCTCATTTTTTCTTTGTAACCTTTGAATGCAAGGTACTATTATTATCCCCATTTTCCAAATGAGGAAACTGAGGCAGAGAGAGGCTAAGTGACTTGCCTGGATTCACACTGATGGGGTACTTGGGTGCCTGTGCTTGGACCCCAATTTCTCCCTGGCCTCAGAAACACTATTCCTGACAGTTTTCCTCCAGCCGAAGGGCTCTAACTCATGAGGTGGGCCCAGTGAGGCAAACTCTCTCTCCTTGTTACAAGAACAAGCTGACCTCTGTAGAATTTCCCTTGTGTGAACAGGACTCTCTTGTACCAGCAGAACTATCAAGTACTGATGCCTGCAGTTACCATATACAATCCAGAGGTCAAGTTATAGATGTCAGTTCCTGAAACTAATCTTGTTACAGACATTAACAGATCAAAAGTATACCCCTTAGGAACTCTATTTCCCTCCCCCTCCCCCCCCAAACTCCCTACCCTCGGTTTCCAGTAATGTATGATGTGTTGACCAAGGTTGTATGTTATCACCCAATTAGCATACTTGGCACATAATCCACTGCTTTTCCTATATAAACTTTAGCATCATTCCTGTTAGGTTGCAAGTTCCCTAATGAGCTCTGCCCACCATGGAAGGTTCCTTGAGAATCTTTGCCTGCTGTATAGCATAACAATAAATCTTTGCCACCTTGACTTAAAGAATGCTTGAGTTTGTGAATTTGTTCTAGACAACCCCCATCCTATACTCCCATCCTTGAGGGGTTGAAATTTCTCAGAATGCAACAACCTGACTAGCAAATGTCTGAGGCTGAATTTGAATTCCTGTCTTGATGACTCCAGGCCCAGAATTCTATCTAATGTGTTCTCAAAGTAGTTTTTTTTTTGGAAGAATTGGGATTCAAATTCAAGTTTCTTTGTTCTAAATCCAGTGTTTTTTATACTACACCATGAGGGACCCACGTGGCTAATAATTTTTACCCTAATCCAAGGAAAACTTCAAGTATAGCTTCTAGTAGTGTCTCAGTCCTCTTTCTACTATGAGTACAGACATTGCTGTTTTCCTGTTACCAGATGGATCCAAGTTAAGTTTTTAGAGGTCAGGAGTAGGGGCTGGGATAGTTCTGCCATTTTGCATGGAAGAGCAAGGAATGGGATGCTAGTGTAGGGGTTGGCACACAAGAGCAGGCAATAAGGTTAAGCAGAGAGGAAGCACTCCTTCCATTCCAGTCATTCTCTGCTCTAAGATTATGTCTTACTCTTGGGGACACCTGATACATGTGGCCTGAAAGATTCTTTGAGTGCTGCCAGAACCAGATTAAAATATAACTGGGAAATGCTGAAAATATATATAAAAATACAACATGGATAATAGTAATTTGTGGATTTTTTAGTAAATATGCAGCCTGCAGGGATCCATTTTCATTTGAACTTGACACCACTGTCCTATACTTTTGCTCATGCCATTACCTATGACTGAAATATTACCCATCTCCCTCTTTGCCTACTGCATTTTTACCTATCCTGCAAGGCCCACCTCAAATACTACATAAAGCCTCCAAAGATCTCAGTGGAAATGACCTTTTCATTGTATCTCAAAACACTGGGTTTTGCATTTGGTAATATACTTCTTGAATATCATAGTTCTCTTTGTTTTTGTATTATCCTTTTCTTGGACTGAAAGTTCGTTAAAGGTAGGCCCTATAAAAACAGCATAGTACACAGTAGGTATTTTAATGTTTTTTTTTTAATTAATACCGGAAGTTACTTTTTACTTTTACACAATGCCTAAATCCTCACTAAACCATTCTGCTTGGCAAAGATCAACCTGTGCTGCTGCTTGAACACTACCAGTCACAGGAGAACCCACTACTTCTTCTGGGAGCCTATTTCAATTTGTGCACAACTAAAATTATTAGGAAGCTTTTCCTTACATTAAGCTGAAGTTTGCCATTATATCTATGCACTGCAATTACTTCTATCCACTGGAACCAGAAATTGCAACCTTCCAAAAGACAGTAGGTATCTCTCATGTCATCAGGCTAAATATCCTCAGTTACTTCCAACAATTTTCTATAAGGTTTTGTAGATGAACAGTCTGCTTCTCATCTTCCTCCACTTCTATTAATCAAACTCCAGAGCATATTAGCTGACTTGATAGCTGAGATACATGGATTCATACTACGTTATAGTTTATCGTAGAAAACAAAAAATGGTAGCCAAAACTTGGACCAAGACAGAAAGCTCTATAACAGGTCACTTGAGACTATCTCTTCTGTCCCTAGGGGAAGTCCCACGTGCAACAGGTTATCCATTAATTGCTTCCCAGGGGGCTTACCTGCTAGGATTCACCAGCTTCAGCTGGTGCAGACAGAGTCGAAGGGTCAAAGAGAAGAGGGGAAAACAATTCAGTCCCTTGCACACAGGAGAACCCTCCCTCCCTTCCTTCACTTTCTCTTTCCTGTTACAGTACTTGTTTTAGCCTTTTTAAGCAAAATGTCCATTTCTTCTTTAAAGTGAAACCTCTTCTTCCGTTTACACCATTAAGAAGTATCCCACGTGCCCTATTACTGTAAATTACCTCCTAGGGTTGTAGAGCAAATGGTGGTGGACACGTGTCCACCCTCTGCTAGCCTTCGAGCGACAAGTTAGGTATTATTGCTACTATTAGAACCTCGGTAATGCTGAATTTCGATCACAAGTACGGAAGAGGATCTTACTTCAACATGGAAAAACCCCAACCACAACTCCCTGCTGAGGAGCAGAGCTCTGGCTTGGGGCATTCCCAGACCAGAGGTGCTACCTTAAGTCAGTGAACTTGGGGCTTCCCCCTCTCCCCTAACATTTGGATAACCGTTTTATAACAGGATTGGCTTCCTTGTTTTATGCCTTTCACAGCTTCATTCTAAGAGATCCACAGACTTTGCCAGGACACAGACCCGGGGAGACCCCGCCTTGCCCCCGCCCCCCAGGTCCCTGCTCCGGGTGACCCTTTGGATCCGGCGTGCGTTCGCGCTGTTGTCCCGGGGGATACGGGGGGGGGGGGAAGCTGGGTGTCCCCGGCCCCCTCCCCACCTCGGCCCCAGCCCCGGCCCCAGCCCGCTGAGGGTCACCTGTAATTGTAGGAGGTGAACTTGCCGCTCTCTCTCAGCATCACCCGGTAGAGATCTAACACTTGTGCCCGACTGGAGGCTGCCATTTTGGGAGGGGGTGGAGCAGAAAACAAACGGGTCCTTCCCCCAAGGTCCCGCTCGACCCAGAGGGGCGGACTTGAGTAAAAACCGGGGCCTATGAGGCGCGAGCTCTGCTCCACTCCGTGCTGGGGCCGTGGGCTCGGCACGGGGCGCGACACTCCGCCTTCACCGGTTCTCCGGAGCCTGCCAGGGCTCTCGAAGGGCTCTAGAGCCCGCCATGTTTTGGAAAAAGAAGACAGGCAGGACCTTGGACAGCTAAGCGGGGGGGAGGCGTGGAAGCCTGGGAAAGTCAAAACTTCGGCGGGGATTCACTGCTCCCGCCGGAGCCCCAGCCCTGAGCTGGAACGCGGTTGAGCTTGAATTTGGAAAGACTAAGTTAGGATTGTTTAGCCAAGGCGCCTTCCCTCTCCCTCCGCACCATCTCCTGGCTCTCTTCTGCTATTTGGTCCATTTCAAGTGTACTGACAATGCAGAGCTAGTGAAAATAGGACCCAGCTACGGGGTGCGGGGCTAGGGGCGCTCCTTGGTCTCCAACATGCATGCATGAGTGACAATTGAATTTTTCAGCTTCTAGAGCTGGGAAAAGGACCTCAGAAGTCATCCAGTCCTCCTGTATGATGCGACAAAATTGAGGCTCTGGGAGGTTGAGTGATTACATCTGTGGAAAATACCAAGCAGGATGAGTGTCTGTGTGGGTGTAGGAGACAAAAGTATGCCCCAGGTAAAGTAGGTGATGATGCATCAGCTTGCTGCAAGCTTTCCTAACTCCTTGTCCCTTTTTCTTATCTGATTTTAGATCCTGTCCCTGGGTTTGAATCTGTGGCCATGTTCAGTTTAAGTATGCCGCTGATGGGAAGCAGTTCCTATCCCTAGGGCTGTAGATGAAATATAGGGTTCAAATCTCATTCACTACCTGTATGACATTAGGCAAGCCTGTAGAAAATAAGACTCAGAGCAGATTAAAGAGATGTTTTCAAGTATCTGAAAGTCTGTCAAGTAGAAAAGGGAATAGACTTACTTTGTTTTGCCCTACAGGGCAGAATGAGGTGGAAGTTGCAAAGAGAAAAGTCAGGAAATCCCTCCTTCCTTTTTTCTTTCCTCTTTTCATCCCTCCCTTTCCCCCTTCCTTCCTTCTTCCATTCCCTCCCGTCTTTCCTTCCTTCTTCATAATGAGAACTATCCAAAAGTGGAATGGGTTGCCTCAAGTAGTGGTAGAACTCTTCTCTCCTAGAGTCTTCAATCAGAGCCTGAGCAATTTAGTGAGGTGGTTATACTAGGGGTTCCTGTTTAGGCGAGACTTGGACCTCAGAGGCCCTCTCCAACTCTGAATTCTGAGTCATTTCATGTCTTTGGGTTTCAAGTGCTTCACTTGTCAAATGAGATGGTTGGTCCGGGTGACCACTTCGGACCATAGATCTATGCTCCTATGATGGAAGTCTAGGGACCCGTTTTAAAACTTGCCAGACAGTTGCAAAAGGATTGCCAATCTCGCATACCCGTCTAGCCTGTGGACTTTTAGCTAGCTAAATTATTGCCTGTAGTCTTAATACATTCCTACCAAAAGCATTCTGTTTTTAATGAGTTCAGAGCAGAAAAATGGAGCTCAGGGAGTAGAGTATTGGCAGTACAGGGAGTTGAGGGGTGCATAGTGAAGCTGCTAGGCGAAGCCTCCTTTATTTCCGTTCAGGCATTTTTGAGGACGACTTGTTTATGGGGCCTTTCAGAAAGGGCCCTGTGAGTTTCAAGATGGCGGCGCCCAGAGTTCACGAGAACTAGCTCTTCAGTGGCTTCAAGTCCCTTTCCTGGAGCTAACCTGCGCCTAAATTACCAGTTTTTGAGATATCCGGAGTCTGAGTTATTCTGGCAGAGTAGCTGGTGAGTGCGGAGCCGACCGTCAGGAAACGTTCATGTGGGTTACTAGCGGGAGTTGGAAATTAGAGTGGATTTTTCTTATCTCAGGGGTTCCCTAGTGTTTGTGTTGGCTCTTAGTTCAGGAATCTTGTCACTTTGGTTTTGTGGGGGAAATGTCAACAATAAGGTCTGGCTTGGAGGAATTCAGCAGCATCTTTAAAGAAAAGGTCTTTATTTTTTTAGTTCAAGGATTCTGCACAAAGTTCAGAAACGAGGCAAGAAGTGTGGAAAATTCTTCAGGCTTTTGATGGTGACGGACACTCGTTCTTGGCACCTCCCCAGGAGGTCGTCACGCGCACATTCCCACCCCTGTTGACTTTGACTAGTTTCGTGGCGGTCCAACTTTAAACACTGTACCGAAATTATTTCCTTTTGTCTCTCCTGTGAGGATGAATGTGAGCTAAGCTCAAGACCAGGGAGGCCTGGGTCAGTTCTGATCCAAGTGTGGTTGGTTGCAAAGCACTTCACGTATTTTCAGTGTTACGCGAGTGAAATGTCATACGACAAAGACTTGTTGGACTATGTTTTTACACTCCCAAACAGGAGGATGATTTTTCTTTTTTTCCTTCCATCTTTCTTCCCCCTCTAAAATCTCACATTATTTGGTGCCCTTCATATCAAACACTGTCGATTCACTTTTTGAAGAAAGTGTTCATGGTGTATACTATTAAGCTTTTTGCCTTTTTTCTTTTCAACTTTTGATCTATGTTTTCTGATATACTTCACCCTTTCCTGTGAGCACCTTTGCATAGAAATCACAGTATGGAAGTATATTTGGATTAAATGTGATGGGTTTGCTCGAATTCTTCATACAACTTCTGTAAATCAAAACAGATTTTAGCTCATGAGCTGCATTTATTTTCGTGGCGAACTTTTCACTTGTTCATAAGGGTTGCAATATAAGAATGTTAGTTTTTTAAACCTACAAAAATGTTTAATGTGAACTGTGTTTGCTAAACATATAGTAGTGGGGGGGAGGGGTAAGCATTTATTGCATTTGATCCTCAAAACAACCCTGCCAGGTAGGTGCTATTATTGTCCCCATTCTACCTTGAGGAAATTGAGGCTGAGAAAGGACAAGTGACTTGCTTAGATTCACACAGCTAGTGGTAAGTGCTTGACCCCAGGCCTAACTATTCACTGCCACTTCTCTCTCTCTCTCATACAGTATCTAGATATATTTCAGATAAAGTGCTCTATATTGGTCTCATCACCATGAATTGAGAGGCAGTATTCATTTATTTCCCTGTCTCTGGCTACACAGTTTCAAGCATAAGTCCTGGTAGCCAAATATCCAGTACTTTACTGCTTTCTAACCAACTTGCACTTATTAAGTACTTAATGTTTACAAAGCACTATGCTATCCCCTGGGGATAGAAATACAATGAAAATGCAGCCCCTCTCCTCAAGGAGCTTATATTCTACTTGAGATTCCTCGTCTGAACTTGTCAGCAAAATTGTAGATATAAAGAATCTGACACATATGTTTCACATTGTTGTGGAGCTGACTCTGAGTTATTGAAAGCTGTCAGCAGAATGTAAGCTCTAGAATGTTTTACTAGGTTGAAAAAACTTTTGAGTACCATCCCAGGTAAAGACTGAGTTTATTGTCCAGAAACCAACCTAACTGATGGAGAAGTTCATTGTTACCAAATTGACCACAAACTAATGAATTCTTTGGCCATAATAACCTATGAATAAAAGATAAATAAAAAGTTCCTCACATTCCACTTCCACAATGACATACTGTTAGATCCACTGAACCACATCAATACTGATATTATTTTAGTAAGTGAAGCCTGAAGATTAAAAAGAAGTTATTTCTTATATGAAGGGACCTCACAAGTTCTCTTTTGAGAGGCAAACTAGGGAGTTGGTAGATTTTTTGGATCAGCTACCCAAAAGCAACGTAAAAAATAATTTCGTGGGATACTTGGGATAGCTTGTCTTGTAGTTCATGATGAATTTTAGCCAAAAGATTCCATGAAAATAATAAGTAACATCTTGTAGTACAATTAGATTTGAAAAATACTTTACAAGTATCTTGTTCCTTATGATATATCCTTTGAGCGAGTGACTGTTTTTCCATTTTGCAAGTAAAAAAACTGAGGCATAGAGAGATTAGTGAGGTTAAATGAACCTCTTTCTCCTCTTTCCCCTCAATATTATTTTATTTTACTTTTTTAAATTGAATTAGTTATTTTTAACATTCTTTTTTAAAGATTTTTAAAAACTTTATTAATTTTTTTTGATTTATCAACAATCACTTCCATAAGCTTTTAAGTTTTAAATTTTTCTTCCCCTCCCTCCTCACCTCCTTCCCCCAAGATGGCGTGCAATCTGATATAGGCTATACATATACATTCCTATTAAACATATTTTCATATTAATGATGTTGTAAGTAAGAATTAGAACTAATAGGAGGAACTGCCAGAAAGAGGAAACAAAAACACAACAGAAAAAAAAATAACAAATAGTGTGCTTCGATCTGCCTTCAAACTCTGTAGTTCTTTCTTTGGATGTGGATAGCATTTTCCATCATGAGGCCTTTGGAGATGTCTGAGATCCTTGTGTTGGTGAGAAGGGTTAAGTCTATCAAAGTTAGTCATCCCACAACGTGGCTGTTACTGTATACAACATTCTCCTGTTTCTGTTCATTTCACTCAGCATCGGACCATACAAGTCTTTCTAGGTTTTTCTGAAGTCAGCCTGCTCATCATTTCTTATAGCACAATAGTATTCCTTTACATTCATATACCACAACTTGTTCAGCCATTCCCCAGTTGATGGGCATCCTCTCAATTTCCGGTTCTTTGCCACCACAAAAAGAGCTGCTATAAATATTTTTGTACATGTGGATCTTTTTCCCATTTGTATGATCTCTTTGGGATACAGACCTAGAAGTGCTGTTGCTAGGTCAAAGGGTATGCACATTTTTATAGCCTTTTGGGCATAGTTCCAAATTGCTCTCCAAAATGGTTGGCTCATTTCACAACTCCACCAACAGTGCATTAGTGTTCCAATTTTCCCACGTCTTCTCCAACATTTTCAATACTATTTTACATGGTGATTTCTTTAGCTCCTATGGTTTCTGTTATTATCTCTCAGCAGTTGCCTCTCAGATTTACTTATCCAATACTGTCTCCCCAAACCTCTAGTCTCAGATCTCTAATTGCATTTC